TCTACATGTTTGGGTCTGGAAAACACTGTAGCAGATAACTCATGTAACTATGTTTATCATTCCAAATGTATTTCACAAGTGGGGTCACCCCTACATAGACTTGCTTGCCATTGAGAAGAAGAGAAAGTGTCTTTCCTTTTGCTCCACACAGTGTTGGAGCCCTGGTTCTCAAGACAGACACATTCCTCATCCCTTGGTCTCCTGTGTGGTTGTGTGCTTGAAGGGGATCAGATAAGAGTCTGCAGAAATTATTTGTTTACCACCAGCTGGGCCTAGGCATTACTGGTACCCGGAGCTCCATGAAACTCTTGATTCAACCTCCAATAACATTACTTCTTGAGTCCCAACATCGTTTCCTAGCACAAAAGGACAAGTCTCCATCCAGACTCAGCCTCTTGTTATCTCAGAGCCTGGATGCTGGTTGGTTAACATAGAACTTGTTCAATAGATATGCAGAACATTCTGATACAAAGTAGAAAGGATTCTACCAGAACAGCTGGTGCAGCCAAGTGGAAAAGATTTTCTGTTCAGGCAAAACAATGTAGCCTCTCTCCCATAGACTCTGATATTCTGGAGTATCTTGTCATTAAAAGGCACAGTGCTTTCTATAAGCTCTATTAGAGTTCACCCAAGCAGCTGTATCAGCACACCATCCACCCATATAGGGTCACACTGTATTTTCACACCCTACAGTGACTAAATTCCTTGAAGACCTAATGTATGATTGCTCTCTTTAAATATATCAGAGGAATAAATACCAGGGAGGGAGAGGAATTATTTCAGCTCAGTACTAATGTGGACACGAGAACGAATGGATATAAACTGGCCGTGGGGAAGTTTAGGCTTGAAATTAGACGAAGGTTTCTGACCGTCAGAGGGGTGAAATATTGGAACAGCCTTCCGAGGGAAACGGTGGGGGCGAAGGACCTGTTTGGCTTTAAGATTAAGCTAGATAAGTTTATGGACGGAATGGTTTAATGGGATAACATGATTTTAGTCAAATGAACAGCGTGCCATCGCTGGTAAATAGTATCAATGGCCAATGAGGGTCTGGCTGGAGAATCTTGCCTACATGCTTGAGGTTCTACTGATCGCCATATTTGGGGTCGGGAAGGAATTTTCCTCCAGGGTAGATTGGCAGAGGCCCTGGAGGTTTTTCGCCTTCCTCCGCAGCATGGGGCAGGGGTCACTAGCTGGAGGATTCTCTGCTACTTGAAGTCTCTAAACCACAGGATTTGGGGACTTCAACAGCAGAGTCAAGGGAAAGGGGTTGGGACGGCTTTGTGGCCTGCATCATGCGGGAGGTCAGACTAGATGATCATAATGGTCCCTTCTGACCTTAAAGTCTATGAGTCTATGAGTATGCTTCCACCGTTACGGGAACACCCTCTGTCCTGGGATCCAACATCATCGTAGTTGTATTGATGGCCCTTTCCCTGTGATCCTACAGGCTAATTGCCAGCTAGGAAGATATTATTTATAAATATAATTTCTGAAAGTTTATTTTTTCAAGTAAATTTCAAGAGCTGTTCAGTAACTTGACACGGTGTGCACATAATTAATTTCTTCAATATGTATGTGCAATACGATGGAGGGGTGAGGGGAAAATACAAGGGCAAAAGTATCTCTAAACTAGGTGGTTGTTTTGATGAGAAATGGCCTCCACCTTTTGATTAGTATGTAAATATAACTTAGCCACATTGCTTAACATGAGCGTTAACAAGAAATAAGTGAGGGTAAGAAAAGATAAAATAGCAATAGCAATACATAGCATTGTAGGGAGAGGAGAGGCCAAAAACTTTACCTTCCTAAATCTGTTTTTAGGCACCTCTTCACAGGAGGAGTTACCCAGTGATTCTGTACTGGTAGAATCTGAGACCTACATAAGAACTAAGACGAATATTTTTTAAAATATACAAACTGTTCACATTTCCAAAATACAAACTGCAGTATTTCACTGTACAGGTTGTAAAGCCCCCCCAGTAGGAGGTTATAACAGTCCCAGAGTCCAAATGTCTGTTTTAGGTACTTATATGTGCCTCATGATTTTTAAGGTATTTATCCTGAGACAGGAGGTGGTTATCCCCCATTTTATAGATGCGGAACTGAGGCACTGAGAGACTAAATCACTTGCTCAGTCATATGGGATTTCTCTGATGGAGCAGGGAATTGAACCCTGCTCTTCCAAGTACCAGGCAAGTGCTCTAACCACTGGACTACCTTTCCTCTGAATGAAGAGGTCTCAGGTTTTTTGACATGAAATACAGTTATATAATAGTTCTCTTCTGACTTTCTGTGACAGTTGTCTCCCAAGTGCATTTGTACCCCATTGGCATGATATTTATTCTGTCAGCCTCTTGTTATATAATACCCAATAGTTCTCAAGTTCAGAGAAAATTGTTATGCGGCTGGAGATGAGTTATATTCATAGTTTGTACTATTAGAAGTAAGCACATTTAAAGTACTTTGAAACAGAGTTGTGGCAACATTTTATTGCATAAAAACCTTGAATTAATTTTTTAACACACTCATTTGGGCAAAGCATTTTTAAATAACAAAACACTGTTTATTGGACATTGTAGCTGATGACCTGAAAATGTGCTTGAAGTTTGTGGTGACTTCTAAATACAATAATATAAATTGCTGTGGAATAGTATTCAAAAGCTATTCAGATGCCCTCTTCAGTTGATAAGAGCCAGGAGTTTTTGTTCATCCTTTTGCCATGCTTTCAAAAGCCAGTCCTTCTTTTCCTCCTCCTTTTTTTGTTTTTTGTTTTTGTTTAAGTTATTGGCCTTAATACAATTGCAAATGTACTGATATTTACATTTAAGGCAAGGATAGCATGCTCATTAGCACTGAACTCTTGCTAACAGAACAAGTCTAAATGTAAATATTATGTAAACCAGAAGCTCTTTGAGTTTGAAGAAAGATCCTTTAGGTTGTCCCAATAGGTTTTTACTTCAGTAATAGACTGAATTTGAGCTTAGTGCTGTTTCCAGTCTGTTAATTGACAGGGTAAATACTGCTGGGGCATTTGTTTAAGCCTTCACAGATTTAAAACAAACAAAAAAAACCCCAGCCATTGTTACAGTCCCTTTAGAGATGACCTTGAATGCGTTATCCTGTGGCCATTTGATTCCTTGGAATACCTTGTATTTGAACCTGAAAAGGATTTTAACATCCCAGAACAAGTTAACTATGGAGTCTCTATTAATAACCCTGATTAAAACAAAAACCTCTCCTGAATATTTTCACTCATTTTACACAAATAAAAAACAGTTCCTATTTTACATATCATTTGCATTTTGGCTCCTTCCTTAGGTTGGATGAGTGACAGTTAACTGAAAAATGGAATCATTCTTTTTATCGGCAAAGGCAAGATTGCAGATACCTACATATTTTTAGAGTTTGAGATTGTATTAAGTGTAGCTAGAGGAAGGAAGCTTTTTATATATGGACAGGTAAATAGAGATATACATATATAGACACACATTTTAAAATCATTGCAGGCTTTAATTTTTTCCCTTTTCTTTTGTGAGCTGTCACTTAAATTAGGTAATCTAAAAACTACACTTTGACTTAAAACAATTTTGCTCCATTTATTACTTGTATCGCTTTAAATCCTATTACTGTACTTCATTTTGGCTCAAGATTTGCTGAAAGCTAGTACCAAAGTGTGACACAAGCTTTCTGTGCCTAACTGATACAACACTAAGCATTCCTGATTAGTGCCAGAGCATTGGGAATGTGAAATGGCTTGTCTGATGCTCCCTAGGGCTTGCTCAAGGAGTTTCTTTTAGAAAATGAAGTGTTACTCTTCTAGGAGAGTGACCTCATATCATTTGGATTCTGTGGTATTTGCCAATCAGTTGAAAACCAGGTGGAGAGAAAACATTCACTGGGTAGTACTTGGAAACCAATTTCCTAGAAATACACAGTATTTCTTATTTCCTGCATTTGTTTTGGAAGGCTAAATTTTGTATTAGATGACAAGCTAATTCTCCTTAATTAAAATTCGTTTAAAACCTTTATTTTAATTGCAGAGGAAAAATGCTGTGTTCATGCCACATGGTGGTAGAGTTCCTCTGAGGGTAACTTCATGATCCAACACAAATAATGTATTTAGCTATCACAAGGGTGTAAAGAAATTTACCAAGAAATTTAGCTCTGGACTGAAAACTATAGGCATAACTAAGGGTATGCTCTTAAACCTTTAGTCTAAAATTTGCTGGATGTTAATGATAAAATAATTAAAATGTAGCCAATTCTAATAATCAGGGGAGTTTTCCTGAATTCTGAATTTTCTTTCTACAGTAAATATTTATGCTTGCTTAAGCCTAGGTTGTTTACTTTATAGAAATGTTACACAATAAAATTGAGATGACAACTCTTGCCTCCATGCCAGTGATGCCAGTCTCCCTGAGCCACTTGTTTACATTTTCAAACAAGCACCTTCCTGATTTCTCTTGTGCTGCCCTCATGCATGGGAAGTGCTTCTAATAAACATCTGTAAAACTACCTCATTGTCTGCCTTCAACTCCCTCTTTTTAAACTCTCCTGTGCTGTGAATCCTACAAAAAAACTGACAGTGGTTAGACAGATGATGTATTGAGACCACTGGCTATCATGCTAGCCAATGTTGTCTCATTATTTCCTTGTGCTCTCACTGTCTTTCTGCTTATATCTACGTGGTGTGTTTTGTCTTTAACTTGGATTTGTAAGCTCTTTGGGGCATGGACTTTTTATATTTTGTATTGTATAGTACAGTAGTGTTCTGGTTCATGACTGCAGCACCTAGATGCTACTGCATTCCAAATAATTAACAAGAGTAAGCAGTATTCATGAATTTTCCAAAATTATATTTAAGGCTTGATTATTGAAACCTTATGAGAACGGTCTACTTTTTAACAAAAGGTTAAATCCAATCTCTTTAGTGTGATATAGTTCCAAGTTTGAGCTGCAATTCTTTAATGCACCCTTCTGTCTCTTCTGTCCTCCAGAGAACGCCGCAGAAGCAGACTTGTGGCTTCTTAACAGTTGCACGGTAAAAAGCCCAGCTGAAGATCACTTCAGAAACTCAATTAAGTAAGTTACAGTCTTTTTTTCTAAAGAAGCCCAGTAATATTTATCAGTGAAAAGTCTGTGGTTTTAAAGGATACTGATTTTCAATCAAAAAGTAAATCCTCCCCAATGGAGAGCAGAGAAGAAATGTGAGTTTGAATGTAATGATGATCTATCCAGCTAGAATAGATTTGTGATTGGTAATGTGGTAATTTTTCTAATAGCTGTTTTGGGGATTTGTAAATGTTCAATAGTACACTCACTGGGGGGAGACAACCCTCCTGTTACTGCGTAATCCAGGAGTTTCCATATTATTTTTCTAAGAAAGATTTTACAGTGTTTTCTTGAAATAATAATTTTGTATTTTAAAAGTAGTGTGAATGACTAACCATCTTCCTCCACGCCATTTTTTTTTAAATGACCAACAGTGGGTTCTTTTAATTAAATAAAATGTGTGCTGCAAAATATTTAGAACTATAAATTTTTGTAATATTTGCATGCAGAGGTGACGCATGGCAGGGTATGCGGGGTCACATGCCCTCCCAGATTTGCTGCTTGACTTGTACTGAGCATGCTCACACGGACTGAGCATGCTCAGTAACACTGCCGAAGCCAGCTGCCCTTACTCTGCACCGCTGCTATTAGCAGGTAAGGGTTGTCTTTTTGCTTAAGTGTAATTATTATTAAAAACTGGTGAATTGAGGGCCTGTCTTGACATACAGAGCTACAGCTGCATCGCTGTAGCACTTTAGTGAAGATGCTCCTAAGCCGATGGGAGAGCTTCTTCCATCGGTGTAGTTAATCCTCCTCCCCGACAGGCGGTAGCTATATAAATGACAGAAGCTCTCCTGTCAACATAGCAGTGTCTTTGCTGGGGATTAGGTCAGTAAAACTACGTTGCTGAGGGTGTGAAAAATCCACACCCCTGAGTGACGTAGTTATACCTATATGGGTCTATAGTGTAGACCTGGCCTGAGTGTACTATAGTTTAACATTGAACTAGTCTTTTTGAAAGTATATAGTGTTGTTGTAGATGTGTTGGTCCCGGGGTAAGGTCAAAAGACAGGCCTGAGAACTTAAATTCCTTAACTTTGCTAGATACTTAAAACCATGGACTGGATTTATGGTTTATTACAACAATCTATAACCCACTTAAACCCCAACCCCCAGACTTTTTTTTCCTTCCACACTATGACTGGAGAAGTGTTAACAGACCACTTCATCTTGAATGGTTCCTTGTATTAATTACTTATGCTAAACACTCTGTTCTGCCTTGTATCTAGTTGTGACACTGATGTTTCCCAGACTTGAAGAAGAGCTCTGTGTAAGCTCAAAAGCTTGTCTCTCTCACAGAAGTTGGTCCAATAAAAGATATTATCTTGCCCACCTTGTGTCTCTACTCTTCTGAAAGACATTTTATTTTAATATATAGCATGTCCTGTCAGTGATGCAGAAAAGTGGTTTGTGGTAGAAGAATTGTTACCTTTTGAGTTCAGCAAAAGTATAGCTTTGATAAGAATAAATGGAAAACATGAATAGTCACAATTGAGGTGTGTCCAGTGTAAACAAAATGTGTTGTCCTTTATTATTCATAGCTCTTACCTTTACTAAACACTCACGTGGATGCTTATGGAATGATTTGTTAGGTGTGGCATGTAACTGATTGATGATTATTGAAAATCTAATTGGCAAGAGACCCCTAATCCTTACTAAGCAGCTGGCTCATTTTGGGGGAGGGAAAGAGAGGGAGCTATATTGAAACTTGCTGCTAGCAGTAGCAGCTTCCCAGTGCTGTACCCTGAAAGAGAAACAATTTGCCCATAGTAGGTGGAACAATTAAAATAAAAAGATTCCTCCTGTACCCAACAGAGAAGTTAATTTCCTGACTGCCAACGCTGCAGGCTGCAATGAGATTACCTTTTTGTGTTGCCAAGAAGAACTGTTTTCAGAATACCGGTAGTTAGTGTGCTTTGGGTAATAACTACATCTGTATGCGCCCTCCTCCCCCCCATCACCTCTCTGGTGCAGTCCAGCAGTTCCCAGTCAGGTCTCAGACTTCTAGCCATCACCTATCTGTGAGCAGGGACTCTTGTCCCACTCCAGTCTGACCATGGTGTGTTAAGGCTGCAAAGCCACCTTACACTGTGATATCACCAGCATGACAGTCTGTCTAAAGGCCAGCACCTGTGCTTTGCTTTCTCTCTGGGGACTATGAAAAGTGTATTGCCAGCAATTACAAGTTACCACACAGCTCTTTCTAAGCAAGCACATTTATTCTTAAGGTACAAGCATTACAGAGAAAACATGTCAAACAAACAAACAATAAATAGATTTAAACATACACTAAACATACCAGGAGTCACCCATCAGTCTTATGGGGCCCTAGTAGGCAGTAGGCCAAAGTCTTTTCATTCTTCAGCAAGGGTTGGGGTCCCTTTGGACAGAAGATGTTGTCTGTTTGGTGGATCAGAAAGTGGGCACTGTCAGTTCAAGATCACCATTTTATACCAAAAGCCCTTCCTTTGTCTGTTAAACTCTGAACCAGTATATGCAGACCACCCCAGGGTGCAGTACCTCTCTAGCGTTGTTTAGTCTGTGACTTGCTTTTATCACCCCTCACTGTTTTTAGTTCCTGTAGAAGCTCTATGGAGTAGAACACAATCATACATAAACCATTATGGGCCCTAAAGATATTGCATGTAATTGCAGTATCTGTAACATGGCAGTTAGTGTGCATTGGGTAATAATCTTGTGTAGGGCAACTAAACCAATGACAGGATCTTTTCCAGTAAAGTTGTGGTTATCTTTCTATTCCAATTACCATATATCAGAATTGACAATAATGAGGGGGTGTGTTACTGAATAAGCTGGTGAAAGAAAGAGGGACTTAATAAAGGTGAATGACGAGAAACATTTCCCGACTTTTCACTTTTTTTCTTTGCTATATTAATGAGCTCGATTTTGTTTGTAGCAACGGTTCCACCCCCACCTCTGATAAACAAAACTAAAAAATCGTCATTCTTAGTTGACTCTGTGCAGAGAGCCATTCTTTTCTTATAGCTTGTTTTCTGCGTTCTGCTTCTCAGTTCTTGACCTTTCCTCATTCTGGGGAAGGAGAACTTCTGCTTCCACAGGATTGTTTTGTAACCACCACAGAAAGTGGGTGAGGGAGCCATGTTTCAGAATTTTGATGGGGCTGTTCAATATATGTCTCAGATGCATCTCAGAAATGGTTTTGTGGAACTTCCTTGTATCTTATGGTGGGAGAATAAAGAAGTGGTGAAGAACTAATGTTTCCAAGCATTAGAATCTTTCACAAATAGTCTTCTGAATATTATAGCAGCAAACTGAGTGAAATTTGGGAGGGTATTCAGACTAGCTGTTTCTCTGTCGTGTCAACAATTCTGTCTGCTAGGTTGCGGTCATGGAGACCTTTGTTTTTTCAGAGTTGGGTAACGAACAGAACATTGACCAGTCTGTGCACTGCCAATGCTGATATACTTTAAGGGAAACAATTAGTCACTCAGCTTGATAAGGTTCATCTGTCACAGGAAAGATTCTGCAGCTTGGAGCTGAATATTGGATGCTTGAGTTTCAACTAAAACACTGAAGGTGGTTTATTCAATTGCTAATTTTCATCATACACACACATGGTCAAGTTTTATGGCTTCTGCAACAGTTTCTTCCATCTGTCTTTTCTTTGCATATACAGCTTATTGGGAATGCCATTGATTCTAATCAGTGGCAGCACATTCCCACTTGTGGTTAAATGAGAAATGAATCAAAAGCAGATAACTGACTAAGATTGTATTGCCAAAGATTATGATAGAAACCAACCATGGCAGTGGCAAGCTGATTACATAAAGGTATCTAGTTTTTTCTAGGATGCTAATTTGGAGCTTTTCTCTGGCAGGCCATATTATTAACTGTTCACTAAGCTCTATGATAAGAGTCACAAAAGAGATGCATATGCTTACAGGGAAAGGGCAAGAATTTTTTTAAAATGGCTAAATGGAAAGGTTGAATGGGTTATTTGAGCCAAACAAAGTATGCTTCAGAAAATGGAAATCCATCCTAAGAGAAGTCAATAGAAAGGAGCATAAAACAAGGCAAGTAAAATGTAAACTGGAAATTAGGAGGGACAAGATAGAATTTGAAGAGCAAATAGACACAAGGAAAAAAAACAACAACCAAGTGACAAGAAATTCTTTAAATATATATAAGCAGATAGCCTGCAAGGAACTTGCTGAATCTGCTTGACATTGACGGTCATGGAGAAAAGGGAGTAAGAAAGGAGGCTAGAGACATTGCAAAGAAGCTAAAACAGTTTGCATACTTGCAGTACAATGGGACAGCATTCTGTGGCAATAATCCCTAAATTCTGCTTCATTGTTAATTTATTCTGTCACCGTGAAATACCCTTCATTCCCAATCTTTAATGCTCCCCTCGACTCATGATTGTGTGCATGTGCGCGCAAAACTGTGGCTCATAATTGAAAATACTCATTTGTTTAAAATGTATCAATAATATATCCGTAATTATTCCACTTTCGTAAAGGGAAACCATGCCTCGCCAATCTGTTAGAATTCTTTGAGGGGATCCACAAACATGGACAAGGGTGAGTACTTGGACTTTCAGAAAGCCTTTGACAAGGTCCGTCACCAAAGGCTCTTACACAGAGTAAGCAGTCTTGGGATAAGAGGAAAGATCCTTTCATGGATCAGTAAATGGTTAAAAAGACAGGAACCAAAAGGTAGGAATAAATGGTTAGCTTTCAGAATGGAGAGAGGTAAATAGTGGTGTCCCCAAGGGATCTGTACTGGGACCAGTGCTCTTCAACATACTCATAAATGATCTGGAAAAAGGGGTAAACAGTGAGGTGGCAAAGTTTGCAGACAATACTAAATTACTCAAGATAGGTAAGTCCCAGGCAGGCTGCAAAGAGTTACAAAAGGATCTCACAAAACTGGATGACTGGGCAACAAAATGGCCAATGAAATTAAATGTTGTTAAATGCAAAGTA